CAGACAAACATACAGATAGACAGACAGAGACAGAGACAGACACAGCCAGACAGAAAGAAACGAATGTGCAGTAAACCTACACACCCCCATGTGTGCTTGTGCGCGTGTACTCCCGACCAAATGCACATGGATATAAAGGTCTGGACATCCCTTGCAGGCACGGACGAGGAGAGAGGTCTTGTGAGTTGGCACGAAAACCTCCGTCAAGCAGATTCCTCAGCTATCAGTGGAACTACCAGTATCTACGACTTACCTTACATAACTGGTTACCTGAGGAGGTGAGTTGTTTCGTCTCTGCAATACTCGTTTGGGATAAAAATTATTTCTCTTATCTCTAGTTTGAATTCGTTATGGTGTGTATGATTAATGTGATGTGTTAATAAATACGCTGTGTATTTTTTTTCTTTTTTCCAGATTGAAGTGGACTCGTTACGTGCCTTTCTTCCCGACTTTTAAGGGATTCAGAAGGAGATTTTCAGCCAAAGTAACTGAAGATGGGAACATTCCTCTGTAATTGATAATGCGGGGAAGAGACTCTCCTCTCTCTCTCTCTCTCTCTCTCTCTCTCTCTCTCTCTCTCTCTCTCTCTCTCTCTCTCTCTCTCTCTCTCTCTATCTATCTATCTATGTCTCTCTCTCTCTATGTCTCTCTCTCTCTCTCTCTTTCTCTCCCTCTCTCTCTTTCTCTCTCTCTCTCTCAATCTCCCTTTATCTCTCTCTCTCTCTCTCTCTCTCTCTCTCTCTATCTCTCTCTCTCTCTATATATATATATATATATATATATATATATATATATATATATATATATATATATATATATGTCTCTCTCTCTCTCTCTCTCTCTCTCTCTCTCTCTCTCTCTCTCTCTCTCTCTCTCTCTCTCTCTCTCTCTCTCTCTCTCTCTCTATGTCTCTCTCTCTCTCTCTCTCTCTCTCTCTCTCTCTCTCTCTCTCTCTCTCTCTCTCTCTCTCTCTCTCTCTCTCTCTCTCTCTCTCTCTCTTCTCTCTCTCTCTCTCTCTCTCTCTCTCTCTCTCTCTCTCTCTCTCTCTCTCTCTCTCTCTCTCTCTCTCTCTCTCTCTCTCTCTCTCTCTCTCACTCTCTCTCACTCGCTATCTTCAGATAAAAAGGTGAATACTTATATACATGTATATATAAGTTGTGTTGCTCACTCATCCGAGCTCACAAACCAGCTAAAAAAAAAAAAACACTGGTGCATCTGCAGTACATGTGATTTTAAAACTTGTGTTGTGGAATGAACTTTTGACTTATACACTTGTCTTGTATTTTGGTAAGATTTTTTTACAGCGAGTCTTTTATCTAGTAATTGTTTCATAACATTAGTCAATATTATTCATTGTTCTGATATATTTTATTTATACGAATGCATATAGGAAAATATTTTAATACTGACCAAGATGTGTTGCCAGATCGTTTTTTACCAATAGAATTAAGGTGTATTTTTCCTCGAGATATATAGTATATAAAAGACATTACGTGACTATCAGAATGTATGACATAAATGATTTCACACGTAGGAAAAAAAGAACGATGTTATTTTAGTAGGAAAGCAAATATACTGCCATGCTGGTGCTACTCCAAACTGGTGAAGATCATTTCTTTATTCCGAGTGGGTATCGGTTTCCCGTTCTCCGCTCGCCGTCGTAACTGGTAGCTGTGGGATGAATTCTGATTTCCGGGTAGTTTTCAGTCCATGTTCGTGGATAAGTACACGTATGAATGTCACACGTATGCACAAATGTATACATACGCGCACGCTCACGCACACGCACATGCACACGCACACGCACACGCACACGCACACGCACACTCACACTCACACTCACACTCACACTCACACTCACACTCACACTCACACTCACGCACACACACACACACACACACACACACACACACACACACACACACACACACACACACACACACACACACACACACACACACACACGCGTACACTCACACACTCACACATGCACATTCATACATTACAACGGGAGCGCAAATAATGGAATCGACAATTTTCATAATCTCTCTGGCCATTCACTCGTCGCATTCCGTTACAAATTCTCGTTGGGTAAAAGACAAAACCAAGGATTGAGACACGGCATCAGCTGTGTCCGATTCCGAACGTCATAATTCCAGAATTTCCGGGTATTTTCAGAATATTTTTTCCGGGTGTATTCTTACTTTAAATGGAGCATTTTAGTACTTTAATAAGATTTAACAAAGTTTGTACAACACTGCATGTTTTATAATGATAATGAATAAGACATTTAATGTGTAAAAATGCACCAGTATTTATATATATATAAACACACACACACACACACACACACACACACACACACACACACACACACACACACACACACACACACACACACACACACACACACACACACACACACACACACACACACACACATATGTGTATGTGTGTGTGTGTGTCGGTCTATCTATACATAAACACACATAGGTTTACA